ACTATGCCTAAAACCAACTTTCTAATATGTGACATGATCAAGAAGTCAAGCATCTCTTGTGGTGGAAGTAAACATGGCAGATTACATTGGCAGCTGCATGCCAGTTTTGGCAAGAGTAATGGAGCCGTCATAATGAGGCACCCAATCGGCAGTTGAACAGGATATTCGCCGCATTCCTTCAATGTAAAAGGCATGTTATGTGTTGAATATGGCCATATCAACATAGAGCACCAGGAAATCTCTTCAACATATCATTATGATATTGAGCCATCCGTATAGATCATCGCAGTAGGTGTCCTTGTAAGATGCCCGCATCGTTCGGGCTTCCCCCTTTACGCCTTCCGGCCGCACGGGCAAGCGGGATTGCACCACATATTGGTTAAACCCCTCGGTAGACCTTTCTAAAAGCCCGGAGACTTATTCTCACACATAAACCCAATCTCGCGTGAAGTTACAACAGTCACAGCTAGGTATGAATAGGTCGCAAGATGCAGGCAGCATCTCATGACACATATCTTCTCTATGAGATTTGACTTAGATGTCCTTGTGCATCCCGTGAGCTTGCCAAGCTCGTATGGCATCTCCCTAGCACCTCATGCTACATGTTTACGAGTGTGTTACGCCATATCATACTATGATGCGCATGGTTCACGTGAAGATTGATACTTCACCATGACGTGCTCATGAGATATATTGTTTCCATATTTAGCCAGTTTTGGTATAATGATATTCAGATTCCTGCGAGTAGCCGATCCTGATCACAGGAACATAAACAAATAAGGATTTCCAGTTGTAAACTCCCCGACAGAGCCCACCATGTTGCTCGAACATCGCACAAGTGGAATATTCAAACTCCCGTTTTCATGCACCCATAAGGTAGTCGGATTCGGATCCCTTACATCGCAACCTGTCAATGAAAGGCGAAGACAGTGTTTGTTGTATATGTTATCGAGGAGACTGCTGATACATGTATCTGACATCCGACATATATACCGACCATATGTCCTCGCATATGCTACCACATCATATGCGGCGTCAAACATTGTTGTTATCGCTTGACTACGACAGACCCTTCAACTGGTTGTCCACCTGGCATTGCTCAGGCAGTGGTTGTGTCGTGAGTTCGCATCCGTCGAATGTATGTTAATGTAAGGTCTCCTCGTCATATGATGTCATCAGTCATAAATAGTTTATCATCTTTGTGAGATGTAATTTCAGATATCGACTTTTCTATACGCAGTAAGTCTCTGAGGTCTTTTATAGATTCTATAGATGTTTATCTGGTTAGTTTGTAATCTTATTGATCTTAATATTCGGCATAGAGTATCTACTCACTTGTAGTGAGGCTTGCATGGGCTAAGGACACCAGGTTTAAATCATGTGGCTCTTGGTTGGTGTCCGCTCCCGCAGTATGGCGCACCATGGCGCTGGCTGTCGCTTGCCTTGCTGTCCCCGTGGGGGGGGGGGGGTCGCCACAAAAAAAACAAAAAAACAAATCTGGTGGGGGGGGGGGGGGGGGGTGGGCAGCGCCAAAAAAAAAAGATTTTGGATTTTAGTTTGTTTTTTGCGCTGCCCCCCCCCCCCTCCCTCCAGATTTGTTTTTTTTTTTTTTGGACCGCCGGCCCCCCCCCCCGCCTTCCCCTTAGTAGCAGTGTTCTCGCCCTTCGGGCCTAAACCAGCCAAGAAGTGAGTCAAACCTCCTGCTCTATAGTCACGTCGACAATTGAAACAAGCACATGTATGGGTATACGTGCAAGTATCCTATTTAAGAATATGCATATGAGGATAACAATATCGTGTGCACGAGTGATGTTGCTTCAAATCTGAAGCAAACCAAAAACATGAAAAACAGTGATGCTGTAAATATGGGGCCCGTAATGTCTTATTTTCTGTATCTTAAGGATCCCTTCGGCATAGTATGACTGACTGTTCAGGCCTCTACAGGTAAACACCGAAGTCATAACAAAAACGGTGGGCGAGCCTTCCCGCAACTAACCGCGCGTTGCGCCTCATTTTCGGAAGTCATAACAAAATCGCTTTCCACCATGTCACCGCGGGATACTGTCTGCAAAAACGCGTCCGCATGTTCAGTGCTGATAAGAAGTCATAACATTTGCTGTTTCCCCCAAGTAACCGCGCCTGACACATGGTTTGCACACCGTGTCTGAAAGTATGCTGGAGCTCGTACTCGAGCATACCTAGGCATACTCGCACAGATACTCGCGCATACCCACGCATACTCGCGCACGCCCACGCATACAGTACGCGCGTATACCCATGTACCCGCGCATACACTGGCGCATATATCGCATATACCCATGCATGCTCGTGCATGCCCACGCAGAGTCGCGCATACTTGCACATACCTGTGCATATACTCGTATTAAATTATACCCATACATGCTCGCGCGTAACCACGCAGAGTCGCGCATGCTCGCACATACCAGCGCATATACTCGCGAATATAATTACTCGCACCTACCCACGCATATACTCGCGCATGGCCACGCATACTCACGTACACCTACGCATGCACTCATTCATATACTCGCGCATGCTCGCGCACATGCTCGCGCATATACTCGCGCATACCCACGCAGACTACCGTTTTTGTTATGACTTCTGCGTTTTATACTTGTAGGGTTTGATTCCTTAGGGCTTCTTGGGGCTGAGCGCTGTGGAGTCTGGGAGGTTTGGAGCTTTCAGGGTTACGAGGTCTAGTGGCACAAACTGCAGAAGCTGCCTCAAGCACTCGGCGAGGCTCCCACTGCACGGAGGCTTCAAGGCTATCACCAGCAACGTCAACGTCGCATTCATCGTGCCATCATCGTCTTCACCAGGAGCATCAGCATCGTTGTCTCGTCATCAAACAAAGTCAATCAACCCCTGCGGACACTGTGTTTTGCTTCTTCGAAGTTTGCAAGAAGTCGCTCTTCGCCTAGTAACGTGCTGTGCTTTACTTCTCCGAAGTCTTCAAGAGATCATTCTTCGTCACGTAGCGTGTCTGCCTTTCTTTCCACCAAAAGATATACCAGCTCCTTCTGGATTTTGCGGTAGCGAAGTCACGTTCCAAGCATTCCTTTCGGAAGAACTTGGAAAGAGCCATGCTTTGCGGTCGCTGCGCCTGCAAGTACTGGATGTAGCATGTGGCCACGTTGTCATACTCAGCGATTGTTCCTGCAACCGCCTCCAAATCTTTCTTGTTGAACAACTCGGAAATTGCTTGTACATCATATGGTTTCAGGGCCTTACATGTCATGTACATATACTTATTTACATACATATATATATATATATATATATATGAACTCTAAATTTATATGTATTTCTCTTTGATTACATAGGAGCTATGCCTCTGGAAGCCTGTTAATTACCTTGCAACGAAGGATCTGATCTTAGCCCTCGAACACTTAAGGCTCAGAAGCGCCATGATAGTAGGGTTTCAGGTTTCAAAATCCCAAATGGGCCTGGGTACTGTTACCCCAAATCATAATGGTAATTCCTGATATAGAAATCTGAATTCTGCTATACTATATAGGTACTTTGGACTCTTTGGGAATCAATAACCATGCAGAGGATAGCATGTGCGACCCATCAAGCCTGCTGACTAGGTATTTGGACTCTCGGGGGGACGCGGGCTATCCTGAAAATAGCTCAACCTGTATCCTGCCTGCTAAGCCCAATTGATCCTACGATCCTAAGCTTTCTATAAAGCCCTACTGGACCATTCAAAGCCTCAACAACCCTAAGCCTCAATACATGCCAACACCCCAGAACCCTCAACCCCAAACCCAAACCCCTTAACCCTTACCCTTCTGGCCTGCCCACTAAGCCACCTACCCGAAACCTCATGCAAGCTGCACATACCAAACGCTTAAAGTAACCCTCGTGATGACCCTGATAAACATACAAAAGAAACCTTTTAAAGAACTACACCACATACCCCTGTAAAGCCTGCCTGCTCTCTGGATGGTGTTGACTTCGCACTTCCTGCATGTCTTCGGCTGAGAGGGTTTCGTGTGGGAGAGCTCACCGGTTTGCGGCCTAGGGCTTTCGGCTCAAGTGCTGCGCAACGCAAAGGTTAACAACACGACTTTGGCGCACTTGTGCTACAGCTAGATAACAAAAGTGATGTCTGCTTCAAGCCCGTGTCTGCTTCCAGTGGGGTTTATCCACCTTCGGCGGGTGCTACAACAGCCTTCGCTTGGGCGCTAGCTTTAGTTATCCTTGCCATTTACATCAGCTTCAACGGATGTTAAGGCCCATGTAAAACCAAAACGAACTCTTGGCGTTTGAGGGTTATGGTTTAAGCCTTAGGCTGCAGAGGTTATTGTAAGGGTTACCACAATGTATGGGTTGCTACCAGGTTTCTGTCCAAATGGGCCACGAAATCACTCGACAAAGCCCTCAAAGAGCTTTCCTGCCACCCGACAAGACCTACTGTACACTCAGGGTTTGTGTTAATACAAAGCCTTGTTAAACCCACATGACCGTAAATTAGGCCTTTGAGTTGCACAGGATTACTTCATGGCCGACCAAGCCCCCCGCACTGTGCAATCGCAGGGCTCATTGACGAAGCACCTCGCTGCAGTCGGAGCTTGTGTTCTGCGGAGCTTGAGTTTACGCAGGGTTCAAGGCTTAGCAGTACAAGGTTCAGAGTTTACCTACACTCTCCAATGTAGCTCCTTTTCTTGACTAACTGATTATTTATAACAGGCTCCTCATCACAAAACTGGCTAGCCCAAGAAGGCATTGCTTTGGAGACAAAGACAAAGCCAGGCTTCCGGGTTTAGCGGTCAACTGCCTTGTAAAGAGCGTCGGCAAGATCTCGCTTGGCCACGGTAACCCCAGCCTCTCTTCCGTCTTCCCAGCAAGGACTGCCAACAGTACTTCTTGGTTGCTCACCAGATCTATCAACACGGCATGCGCACTCACGTGCGCCGTAAGATTTAGGCGGATGAAGGTTCCGGGTCACCACGTCCGAAGCACATGCGTTATGCCTAAAATGGACCATAAGACTTCAAGAGGGACTTCGCAGAAATGATGGCTGTATCCCCCACAAAACCCTGGAGATTGAATTTGCCCAGGCTGTCTTCGTAGGCTGTGCCAAGCTCTGCTGTTCTGGAGTAGAGCTTGTCCCTTAGCCCGTCAACCGGCGCTCCGTCGACTCGAGGGAGGACAAAATCTTCCCGGCTGACACGAGCAACTAGTTAGTCTTTTGTTGAGGGCTTGGGATTTTAGGTGGAGGATTTTGGGTTTAGTGTAGGGTTCAGCGCCAGGATTTGGGGTTTAGAGTTCGGGGTTAGGGTTGTGAGTTTCCATGGAAGAACTCACCCATCCGCTGCAAATATCCTTGGCACCAGTCTACTGCACGATGGGTCTATCTTTCGGCTATAGGACCTTACAAAAGAACCAATGTCATAAACACACCCCTAACCCCCAACTTCAAGGAGCTACATCTGAAGGTCCTGGTAGGCTGTGCAAAACACGAGCGTATCCTCCCACCCAGAGAGGTCATGGTTGCAAGATCAAGGTTTGAGGGTTGAATTTAGGGGTTCGGGTTCTTATGCAATTGGCACGATGACGGTTTTAATTAGAATGCTTTACGAGCTTCGAACAGGGCCTTCTTACACGAGGTCAGAGGACTTGCTGACTATGTACCCTACCTGGAATTGGCCCAAACTATTGGCTACGTCTAACCTTACCGATTTGAAGCAAACCCCGAACGAAAAGAGCAAGGCACCACACCACAACAAAAAGGTCAGCCCCTTCTGCCATGCCTGTCGCAATTCTCGTTGTCAACCTTTTCTCAGAAACTGTTTGGGTTTTCACAATCATTGGAAAGGGTCGGGGTCGAGGGTTGAGGTGCGGAGCTTGTGCTTTGACTTGAGCATGCGGACTTGTGTTTCAGTCGAGGGCTTTCATGATGCAGGCACCTAGGAACGCAACCCACTACGGACTGAGCAATACCAAGAGGCATCGGACGCACTGGTCGAAGGAATCAGAGGTTGGCATGTACACCCCGAATCCCAGGTCTTCTTTTGAAAGGCCTGATCTACGGCTGGACCATAAAGTTAGGAAGATACTACACCCGAAGAGGAAACTACATGTCAGAGGCTTGGTACGTCTTAGATAGGATTTAGTGTTTAAGGATGAGGGTTACGAGTGTGGGGTTTGGGTAATATCAGGAGAAACCCAGTGAGTGTACATGTCTAGGATGCCCAGCAAGCTAGGAATAATGAAAAGGGCTCCCTTTTTGGTTTTGGGTAACTTTGTAAGGCACCTAGGACTAGAAAAACTAGAAAAAGTCAAAATGGGCTCAGTGGGGGGCCAAAATGTAACTCCAGATATGACTATGTCCCCGCATCCTCTATCCAGGGGTGTCCCACTTACAAGCTGCCGAGGATGCCAATTTTTGCTATATTGCCGGGTTAGCCCTTACGTTGCCCCGCCAATGCCTGAAGACGGTTTTTTGAATGTTCATACATATAGTGTCAAGGGGGGCCCTAATTTCCTGACACACGCAGAAGGCATAAGTACAGGCCTCGAACCTTATAACGACATCGATTCCATAATCTGAACTAAGTGTCGACTTCAACAGTCCCAAAACATCATACAATTAAGGGCTCTATATTAAATAAACACTAATCAAGGTAAATTAGCAGTTGTCCCACATCTCTAGCTCGTGGATTCTCAGGCTCATGGGAAGGAGTTGCGGGGTTGAAGTTGATCGAGTCTTGAGATTCAGGGTTTAGGGCTACAGGTCAGGGTGTACCTGGACCCTATCAAACTTTCCTTTTTGAGGTTCCCCATTATGATTTCCTTATATACGTGATGAATACAGTAGGTTATTTGGGTTAAGGCAGGGTCAAGAAATACCCTCCTAACCCCTAAGCCCTGCACCCTCAACCCAACTCCCAACATTATCTCTAATCCGTAGTCCCTAAGCCCGAAATGACACCTCGAAGCATCGCGCCGACCTCAAACTATCGAACCCAAAGCAATTCCTCCCCCACAACCCCAAACCCCACAACCAACCCTAAATCCTAAAACTCTAGAGCCCTAGGCTATACCCCCCCTAGAACCCTAATGAAACTAATGTGCTTCAATACTTTCTTAGGTTTTAATATGAACAAAAGAACAATCCCAAAGGCTCCATGTACAGATACTTAGGCCTTAAAGGCGTCCCTATATAGGTACTTTAAGGCCTATGTATCTACTATATTGGTACATGGAGCCTTGGGGAATTCCTAAGGAGACTATAGTAGGAGCCCGGCGTAGGCTTCCGAGATGAACTGGTTCACGCAGAGCATCTTGCAAACCGGCATCGGGTCCATCCTTGGTGTAGCTTTTGACGCTTTGAAGGATGAGGTGTTTAGGGCATATACCCATAGGCCCCAAAGTAGTTCCTTGTTGGGATTACCTTATAGGATTCTATATACGAACCCCAAAAAGGAACTACTTTGGGGCCTTAGGGTAGGGATCAGGGGAGAACTTTACGGTTTAGGTGTAGGGTCTAGGGTCGAAGGTTTCGAGTTCAAATTGAAAGGTTGGTGGTTCTTTGAATATCTTTCTTGCGGTGCTTTGTTGGGGCTCGTATAAGAAGCTTGCACTCGCTTTGCACATGGGTAGTTGTCAAAATTACGACCCCTTTTTGGGTACCGTAAATGTCGGGTGCCGTATTCTAATACGGCCCCAAAGCGGGACCATAATTTTGACAACCACCCATATACGGTTTAGGAGCTTATGCCTAACTCCCTAAAGCCTCAATCCTAAACCGGGTGAGGCTCTTAGGGCTCATTCTCTGATAGTAGAAGCCAAAAAGCTGGAGACTCAATAGCCTCAACCCTGAAAAGTACCTATAGAGGCTCGCGCCCTACCCTTTCTTGAAGGGACCTACTTTTCTAGATAACAGATCTAAAGAACTAGGTAATTACCCCAAAGAAGCGGTAGGATATGGGCCTATAGGTAATGCATGGGGAATCCCAGCACTAATTGTTCTGAAGTCCGGTTTTCCAACATCTTGGTCTCTACCAGACCAAAACGGTCCTCGGCCTCAGCGGGAGCCTCCGCTTGGGTCTCGTTGGCGACCAGCGCAGGTGGGTCTTCTCTCGACTCTCTCGCGCTTGGGTGTTCCAAGTTGGGCTGGCCCAATCCTCCTTCTCCCAGCCCCGTGGGAAAGGGAGGCTTAGCTCGTGCCGGTGCCGCCTGGATCCCAGTTGGCGCTGTACGGCCAAGGCAGGCTGCAGCCTCAGGCATGGCTGAAGAAGGCGTCTTCTGCTCAGGCACTCATCGATCCAATGCGGGTATCAACATTGTCACCTTGTTTATTTCTCACGAGCAACTTAGGTTCAGGCCATGCTGAACATGTGCCGGGAAGTCATGTCCCTGAGCTGCGTAATACTAATTCGGTGGACTTTTTTATTGTTCCTAGTTTCAACTTCAAGCACCAAGAACCCAGCAGCAAGTGCGCTCCGGAGCCTTGACATTCATGCAAGAGCCTGGAAAATTGGTAATACTATCTGACTCCGATAATAGTTTGATTCAGGCTGGGCCGGTTTCGGGTTAATCACGGCATCCCGAATGGTGCAGCTATGCAAATCCAGAATGTACCCAAACTCCAATCTTTATCAGTCCGTGTTATGGCTTCCTGATACAGTTCCTTAGCAAGGTGGGCTTTGGGAGTTGAGGGCGCAAGGCCTATTTTAGGGTTTAGGGTTTAGGGTTTTGGGTTTAGGGTTTTGGGTTTAGGGTTTTAGGGTTTAGCGTTTAGGGTTTAAGGTTTGCTGCAAGATTGCGTAGCGGTAGTGTAACAGGGATTGTAGGATTTATTAGCGGTTTTGTTGCCTGCGAATCGCAGCCCTGGCCCGACTGTGGCGGGCCATCACAGAGCTCACCCACCCGACGCCGTCTGAGGCGGCAAACCACCCAAACCTATACCTTTTAGGGTTTAGGACCTCAACTCTGTTAGGTCCATGTTGCTAACAACAACCACACAATTCTGCAGCCAAGCTTCTGCTCCGAAAAGGCAGTGCAGAGTAGGGCAGAGTACGGCAAGAGGTACGGCCAGAGGGTCAGGAGGGGACCCGGGAGGGCCAGGGGGGCCCAGAGCCCAGGGGGGCAAGCGGGGGTCAGGGAGCGGCCGGGCCACCTCTCCACTTGGACAGGGGCGCCGGGGTGAGAGGGGCCTGGCCCGGGGGGGGTCCCTTTTTGGAGGGGAGCCCACAGGGCCAGGGCCCCCATAATAAAGGGTTTAGGCCCTGAGTCGAGGGTTTTGGGGTTTAGGGTTTTAGGGTTTAGGGTTTTAGGGTTTAGGGTTTCCGGGTTTGAAGGTTGGCGCTTCGATTTGTGTGTGGTTGGGGCTTGTGTTCAAGCTTTTAGTTCGGCAGTGGTGAATCTCATCTCTATGAAAAGTTCGGAACCCCACGCCAACGCCGCGAGGGTAGCTACCGCCGGTAACCCGATAAGAGACCATAGAGGGTTCAGGGTATGGGGGGTTTGGGTTTAGCGTCTTTAGGGTTTAGGGCATTAGCGATCAAAACTGATTACGTGCTACACATCCCTATCATGGTTTATCTCTCCGGGGTTCCCTGACAGGAGCCGGCTTTCGGTTCAAACTAGAGCCGGCCTTCGGTTCGTGGTGTATATCACAATGGTGTTCGAGGGCTGAAGCATGTTGGTGTATCTGATAACACAGAGAGTGCGCTCCGCTCTAATTCCTAAATTCCTGCAGCGTCCTAAAATTGAATCACCCTGCAAGCTCTAAAGCACCTAAACACCCAGAAGACACCAAGCTCTAAATCCCCGAGAGCCCATGCCGAGACGTCTGCTTTGCAGCCTTCGTTGGAGCGCACGAGTCCGGTGGAGTTTGCCTGGCCGGGGTTTCGACATGAAGCTCGGTTGAGTTTATCATACCAGAGATGATCAGATGCCGACATGCCTGCCCAACAACACCAACCTCAACATCTCTGAAGCTACTATGCCCCTCGCACCCTCCATTCAGGGCTTGGGGTCTAGGCGCCGCCTCCCCTACTTCAACCCCGAACCATACTTGATCCTTGAAGAACATCCAAACATACCCCGGCCGTAACTCACTGAACAACGTATTCTACAGGAATGAAGGAAGCACTCAAAGACCGTTACCCTAAACTCTAATCCCTTGACGCCTAGCTATGATTACTAAGGAACCTCCAAAACCCTATTCCAATTATTGAGGCCCCTACCTAACCCAAAACCCAAGACCCCAAACCCTAAATCCCAAAACCCTAAACCACAAAACCCTACACCCCAAAACCCTAAACCCCCCAAGCCCTAAACCCCCCAAGCCCTAAACCCCCAAGCCCTAAACCCCAAAACCCTAAACATCCCTAGACTTTTGACTTAAGCACCGGCAACTCTGAGGCCCCCACAATCCGATAGCATCGCTGCCCTTCTTCGCGCACTTTGCCGAATCTTTGAAGCCGGCATCTGCAGGGTGTAGTAGGCTTTGGGGGTTTGGGGTGTAGGAGTTTGGGGGTTTATGAGGCTCAGGGTGTAGGGTTTGGGGGTTAAGGGTTTAGGGGTTTGAAGTTTCGGGTTTAACTTGAGGGTTTGGGGGTTGGGCTTAAGCCTTATAAGGTTTGCTTTTAGGGTTTGGGCTTAGAGCCTAGAGGGTCTAGGGTTTGGATTTATGAAGCTGAGGTTGTAAGGTTAGGATCGAAGATCCAGCCAATACAGTGCTGCGCTTCAGCTTGAGGCTAGGGAAAGGCTACCGCAGTGTCATCTTAATAATCCGCATACGCTTGTTCCTACTCTTAGTCATTTTTGGTAAACGCAAGACATGAAGGCACTGCCGGAGAACACAACATGGTTTAGGGTAGGGCTGCAGATTACAACTGTACAGTACTGCTCGAACAGGTTTGGTGTTGGAGGTGTCGAGTTCTCGTCGCAGTACGCAAAACACTGCATGGGCTGTCTCTGGGAGGCACGGCCCAAGCCACGCACAATCATGGCAGTCATGGGGATGTTATATAGCAACAGCGCGTGTTTTCGCTAATCCGCGCATCACTTGAGATAGCGCTTGTCAGGCTGCGCAGGTTGTGCAAGACCTACATGAGCTTTGCTTCGGAATGCTTCTGAATACACACAGGTACAGTACCCAGAGACTCCCACCAAACCTCCGGTACATGGTCTGCCCTTGAACATACCGTGCAGCCAGAGCCTGGGGCTGCACATCAAACTGAAGGGTTCTTTAACGGGTTTATGGGGCTCATGCGCTTAAATAGCAAGTACTCGGGCCTTCGTCTTACAGAGGTAATTATACAGTAGACTGTTGGGGCACAGTATACACCTCAGTTTACCTTACAACACACATACTGAATCTTTTGGACATCCTCGTAAACGAAAACATAAACCAACGAAAAACAACACCAAAAGATTTGTGGTACACGGACCCTTCAGGATACATGCAAACTGCCAGTCGAAGCCCGCAGCCCTGAAGTAGCCCTGCAGTCCACAAGGCCCCAACAATCTGCTAGTTTGGCCTTTGGAATAGAGTCCAGGGTTTTGGAATAGTCTCGTCCCAGGCTAGTATTCGGGAATCTGGAATTGGACACGGGGAATTAGGGCCTAGGGCCTATAGGGACATTAGTGCTGTAAACGATGGAAGCGTCAGAGCCCTATAGTGCCTCTCCAACAGCACGGCATGCCGCCTTCTGCACCTGAGGTCCGCACATACACATGTGCAAGACTGAGCAAAGCAACAGCTCTTTACGGTGCCCAAACCCAAAACCCTCAACTCACGATGGTTACCAAACCCTAAACCCTCCATATGTAAACAGCTAATCCTGGCTACTAAACGAGAGCCCCAAACTCTACACAAACCCCAAACCCGAAACTCCATACTCTAAACCCGAAGCTCAAACCTAAACCAAAAACCCTAATACCCTAAACCCAAGCCCTTTACCTGAGGACAAGCGACTAAGTCCCCAGGTCGTCAGAGTAACTCCCACAAACCCCACCTCAAGGCCTCAAGGGTCCAAAGGATCCAATAGTTATGTACTCGGTTTTAGGATAGTAGTTATGTAGGTTGCGACTTTGGAAAGTATATGATTCTTGGGTACTTGGACCCTTGGGCATTAACCAAACCAGCCTCTGAACTCTTTTTGCACATAGTGTATAGGGTGTTGGGATGAAGGGTTCTGTGTTCGAAAACCGTCCTATCAGGTCCAAGTATCCCCGCGGCAGCACGGTTTTAATCAGACTCTATTCCGAAAAAAAATCGGTGCCAACAACCCACCCTAAACCCAAAACCCCAAACCCGAAAGCCTAAGTGGTTGGGTGCCCCTGCTCCCAAAGGCTCCATGTACCGTTATAGTAGATACTTAAGCCCCAAAGTAGTCCCTATATAGGTACTTTAGGGCCAAAGTATCTAGTATATGGGCACATGGAGCGTTATAGGGGCTGCGGCTTAGGGAACTTTACAGTGCTGGAATCCTGAGGTCGCTGGACTCCAACCCTAAGGGTCCATGTGCCGATTTAGGGTTTACGGTTTAGGGTTTGTGCCCAAATAGTAGGGTTTTAAGACCCAAAATCCATACTCTGAATGGTTTTTGGACTCTGAAACCCTACGATTTGGGCAGAGCGAAGCTTGTAGGATAAAGAGGCTACAGTTTTGAAGCAAGTACCATCGACATCAAAACTGCTTGATCGTCCACTGCTGACAAAGATTCTCGTGCCCCTTGGAGCCTTCCTCACGTAGCCGATCGGCTGTCAAGTTGAACTTGGACTTGCGAGCCAATGCATGGTCTTTGTACTTCTTGATTCGCTCCGACAATCTGTTCGCCTCAATCGCCGGGAAGCTCTCAAGCTTGCCTGCCTTTGGACCATCCGGCTTGGGGCCGGGTGCATCTTCCAAGACGCCGTCTGTAGGCTAAAGCCAGTGAACTCGGTGTGCAATTCGCCTGCAGCAGCCAAAACTCCTCTTCGAGGCGAAGCTTCTCCAAGGTCTCGTCGTCGAGCTTGTCTTCAATCTCAACGAGGTACTTGTCGTTATTAGTGTATTTACACTTCTTGACGAGTTTTCGCGATGTGCAGTACTTAACCGCACCCGCGATCTTCGCCCTCAGTTGGGCAAGAATCATGGATCCTTAGGGTAAGGGTCCATGTGCCTATCTAGGTTTCCCCTATCGAGGTTCCTTCAAGGGTTCCTTTTTAGAGATCCGTTCAGGGGAAGGTTTAAGGGTCCATGTACCTAAACAGTATATAGACTTAGGCCGTACCTGGTACCTAAATTACATGGAAGCCGCTTTCAGCTCCAAGTATATGCTGTGAAGATACAAGGAGACTCGGGCTAAGGCTTGGCTGGCGCTTTACGGTTCTCAGGTGTATGCAGGCTATTATGGTCCAGGCGCTGTGCTCCACACGTTCTAAAACCGAAATGAACTGGTGGAGATGCAGGATTAGGGTGTAGGGTTTGGGGGAATGATTCAGGATTTCGGGTATCGGAACCCCTGACCACGAAATGTCCATACACCCTTTTAAGCACACGTAGTTGTGCGTTGATACCAAAGTTGCGGTTGGGACTCTATTTAAGGCCTAAATGGGAGTTTCCGAGAATAGGGGACCAAAATATAGTACTCTAAACCCACTACCTCCAAACCACGGGTTTAACGGGTGCGTTCAAGTAACATACGTCAAACACTTAACCCACGCAGAAAACTGGCTTATAAGGGATAGCAGGATCGAATACAGAATTATCGAATCAATCAGTGCACTTCTACATGTTTGCATCCTCCCTGCGTTATGCATAATGCAAGAACCTCGCCCTCGAAAACGAATCCATAATTCCCCTTAAATAGCTCCAGCAGTGCGACGGCAGCAGCAAGCCACAGCCGTCTACAACATCATCGCCGAGAAGTGCGCTGGGCAGTGTTTTCACTTTCGATGTCGGGCACTTCTGTTAAGTGCTTCAATCCGGGATTTCCGTAGCAGCGATTTCAGCCGCCACCTTCCGAATTTAATTACGGAGGTTTCGAACTTTTTCTTGTCGCACGTCTGTGCGACGCCTCGGTTGTTCCAGGGTTTGTGCTAAGGTTTACTCTGGCACTGGAATGATTGCATTGCACATCACAGAAAATCTTTGTAAGTCCAGCCGCATTTAAGTTTAAGCCATTTCATTGCATCTTCTTCTCGAAACGTATGATGATGCCGAATATTGAACCCTCGGCAAGTCGGCAGGGCAATTACAGCAGCATCGCACAATTGTGGTCGAATGCTTATGAGCCTTCTTGTTTGCCAAAGCTCGGCGACGTCTGCAGTCATGAAGTTGGTGCGCAAAAGCCTAGAGTAGGACATCCGAAGTCCATGTTGGAAAGTAATGCAAAAATCTGTTTCGGATCAGCTTAGTGCAGACGAGAATCGTGCACTTTCGGTCGCACATGCCAATGAAGCTTCTCCATCCTTCGGAAGAATATTAGATTGCGAGCACGAGCCGGTCAGTACATGGGGTAACGAGAAAGTTCAACGGCAGTCCTCATACTCATTTTGCACAACAGCACGTGGCAACGAAGATATCGCATGCCACATCTGTAGATGGTATTTGCAGCTGCCTCCGTCCTCATTTCGCCCACAAATCTATTGCACCCCCAACCCTACATTCCCCTAACCTCCACGCTAGGAATAAATTAAAGCCGTTAAAGCCTGGCCACAGGTACATCGGATTCGCCTCCACTTCGTGGAACCATTCGCAGAGCGACTTCCTTGGTGAGCATGGTTTATGGGATGTAATTAATAATACAGTTCACCTCTATCGTATTAGTGGTAAATAACGGGTGTCATGACCGATAACTTTCAATCAAGTTGGTCCAAGAAGCATAGCAAGGCAGATTACCGGAAAACGCGTATCGGCATGAGGGGTATCATCAGGCCAGGGTTGCCCTTCTTCGTCATGTTTTTTGCGTAGCCATTGTCCAACATCACGAGAAGGCATTGTGCTGTGCTTTGCAGCAAGTTCACAACAGTTGCCAAGCCACATAGTTATTATTCGACCATTGTAGCCTTTATGGGCCATATGCGCACCGTGCTTCTCAGGTTTCCAAACCTGGCATCAGTGTTTCAACAAAACGGATGCACTTAGATACTGCTGTATGGTGCCATGCCACCCTGCAACAAGCCCGTCATGGATGCGACCCAAGGAACAAAGTTGGGAACAAACTTTTGTTGCGAACACTTGAGCCCCCGTTCTCGTTGGAAGGTCTTGAAGTCCCGGAAGGCCACCACAAGTAACTGGTGAAGAGAGTTCATCTCCGGACTCGGGTCTCCGAAGTAGCCATTCTCAATCAGGTACATCCTAAGCTCCAACATCCTAATATATCATTGCTTCAGTAACCCAAAAACGGAGTAACCCCAAAGTCAAAGAATCACTAAGTTGTTGCGACACGTGAGAATTCAGAATACTCAAATGCCCGGGATCAAAGTTGAGCCTGTAGCGTCCTGGGCCAAACCCAGGTTTATATTGTGAAGACTGCAATGGCATAGCATCGTGAAGTTGAACGACCGTAAGCCCAACAACGGACCTTTGTTGTTTGACTCTTTAAATAATCTTTGCGGGTTCAATCCTACTTGCAACAGAAGACTCGGTAGTTGCTGCTAAGTCACAGACATGATTATCCTGCGTACCCTCAACGACAAACTGATTATGGGAAATCTCTGTTGCCTGCCAGGATGGATTGTCGCTGACATCGGTCATCGAGTGCGCCGCATTGGTGTGATTCTCAGCATCGCACCGCCAGCAGATAAATCGAGTTTTGTAGTACCTGTTCAACCGCCATGTTTGCCAATGATACTCCCAATCACCCTTGATTTGGGTGACACAAAACTTCCGATTCAGCTGTGCCCCTTCCCACGTAAAACCATCAAAGGCTTTGTTGAGGGATTTCACAACAGCCAGGTACAGCGGGTTGTGACTCTTCCATCCCAAGCTACGGTCCCCATTCAAATTCCACAGCAGGAATTGACTCATCCGGGTTGACTTAGGTCTCCACAATACCAAACTCAAGAAGCAGCCCGTCACTTTGGATTGATCGAACCCCGTGCCATATCTTGCCGTGTCCCCATAGAGTGTAAGCGGAATATGGGACCCGTCCAGATTCTCGTCTGAGGCCCAGGGCATGAACTCTTTGCAATGTTTCCAATATTGTGCTAAAGTAGAAGGCGGTATATTGATGCCCACGACGTCAAACAAATAGGCCAATATGCGGTCCGGAAGTAGCACTGGCACTTTGACAGTAACCTCCTCCAAAGAGTCCTCTTTCTTCTTCAGTGTAGTCTCTATGTATACCGGTTCCTGTTCAGCGAATGAACGACTAGAACACAGACCTAACATATAATATAGTGTTCAAGAATATCTAAGATTTACCCGTTCAGCCCTAAGACTAAACTTAGAACCGATGCTCAAGCTGCTAATATAACGTAGAACTTACTGTTGGGTATCCCCCACCACGGGCAACTTCACGGTCCGCTCAAAGTCTCGAGAGTTGTTGCGGCCACTGAAGGATCCGAGCTTGCGAAGCTGTCGTGGCACCAGACCAGAAGCGTCCTGGGCTGACTATGTGGGATTCGGGTTTGCAGGATTCTACAAGAGCATAGCAGTAGACTGTTCATGTGTGCCGTGGCACACGCAATGAAGACTTGGCGCTTCTCATCTCTCGATCGATTGAGC